CATTCCTCCAAGAGAAAATTATTAAATAAAATCATCTTACAATACAATCTTTTATTTTATATTACTATATTTACAATATTAATTAAATATGTTCAACAATTGTGTTTGCAATTCATTTAACTTCTGCTCCACCTCTTCCACTTTCTTTCTACCTTCCACCACCATTCTACAGCTGCTTTCACGACTTTTATTCAGATCCTCCAACTCTTTCTCTTTCCGCTTTATTTGTTCCAAAACTGAAGCGTCCTTCATGTCATGGCCCTTTATTTCACCTTCCCTTTTCGCTTCCCCCGTTGAAGTGTCTTCACTGCTTCTCGCACCTGCTCCACCAGCTTTGAATAATCCAACGGACCGCCCGATGCTCTTCTATTGTATGTCCGTTTCTTCGGCTTCATACTTACGGATTTACCGCCCCCTGCCGGCGTCCGCGATGTACTAGCCACAGGTACTGCTATCCCTTCCGTAGCTACATCTCCTACACATGATTTTCTTCCACCGACTGTCTTCGTCACCAACTCATCGTTGTGGAAGAACTCCTCCAGCATCGCTGACAGCTCCGATTCGTTTAAGCTAATCACTGACGCATCTGCCGCATCATACTGTCCCAATTCAGCCATTTCACTTAATCTTTTCCTTTATACATGTCTCTTAAATATCTTCAAACCACCCCACCCTAACAGCCCTCACCTCCTTCATTTTCTCCCACTCACATTTTCTTACGTTGTTATAATCTACTTCGCACACGGTCTTCCTTAGTGTTTCTCGAGACACCTCTGGTTACATCTAACCGATATGATTCGTTGTCCGGACTGCGATACGTCATCAAATCAAAAAGCTTCGTGTCGTAAACGATTACAGTACCATCCTAATTCCTCGCTACCCAATAAAAAACCGAAATATGCTGCATCTGCCACCTCTTCCGACCGCTGGTGTGAAACGTGCAAAATATATGTTCCTCAATCTTCGTACAACGGTCACCTGCGCACCCTACAGCATAAACAAAATTGTTGTTCACCTCTCGAGGAGGGAATCGGTTTCCTTTCCTCTGCTTTCGCTAGCAGGATTGCTTCGTTTCGTATTACGTCTGCGAAATACCTTCTATCGTATAACGACTTCTTCACCGATGTTCTCGACAAATGCGTGCGTGTTATACGTAATCAGATCCACCTCCACGACACGCTTAAAATAAATCTCGAAGTTTTTGGACGTTACGTGCACGAAACCAAACACTTGGTTGAAATTAAATCCTTCAACACCAACAACAAAGTTGTGACTCGATCCATCGATCTTCCCAATCTTCTACAAAACTTCTTTAAGATACTTGAGGCTAAAGCGTCAGAGTTTCAAGAACGAGAGTCAGGTAACTCATCCTTCTTTAGTATACGTTTCATTTCATTTAACATTTCCCCATTTCTACAGGATGGATTTTAGAAAGGGTTCTTTTCCTTGAAATCAACTTTAACAAGTACAATCCGCTGAGAGCGTCTTCCTACATTCCGTTACCGAAACAAATTTTATTCAAGAAAGCGGTTGTGAATGTGCGAAACGACGATCACGCCTGCTTCGCATGGGCAATTACGTCAGCTCTGTATCCCGCACAAGCGAACCCGCAAAGAACTACTTCCTATCCACATTACTCCCGCACTTTGGACTACGACGGTATCCAATTTCCTATGAAATTAACTGACATACCGAAATTTGAATCGAAGAACCACTGCTCTGTGAATGTCTACGGGACTGAATCCGTTTTGAAAGATGGAAAGTGGACATGGGAAATCGTTGGCCCCCTTTACTACTCACCCATCAAGCGACGGCTACACTTCAATCTGCTCTTGCTCGATGATGATCTAGGAAATAATCATTACTGTTGGATAAAGGACATGTCCCGTTTACTTTCTCAACAACTTTCTAAAACTGGACATCGCAAATTCTTATGCGACGGTTGCCTACAATACTTCTCCACTTTACCTCACCTACATCGTCATCAGCAGCATGACTGTAATCATGTCTACACCAGCCTTCCCAACGGTGATTTCAAGATGGATAAGATGGGTAGGTTTGTCCCCAATCACATTTTAAAATTTGAAAATTATCAGAAACGTATCAAAGTACCATTTGTTGTATACGCAGACTTTGAAACCGTACTGCGACCAATTCACACATGTTTTCATGACCCTAATAAGACTGCCACCACATCCACCCACAAACATCAACCTCATTCCTTTGCTTATTTGATGAAGTGCTCCTTCGATGATTCCCTCTCGAAATTCAGATCGTATCGAGGCCCCGATTGCGCCAATCAATTCGTTACAACTCTCGATCGAGATGTTTCTGATATTTATCATCGATATTTGAAGATCGTTTCTCCCATGATACCCCTGACAGATGAAGAAATACGTCTCTTCTCTGACGCTACCTCTTGCAATATTTGCGAAGAACCCTTTCTGGACGATGACGTCAAGGTGCATGATCATTGTCATTTGACCGGTAAAGTTCGATTAGGAGCTGCTCACTCCAGATGTAATTTAAATTACAAACTACCCAACTTTGTACCTGTTTTTTTCCACAACCTCTCCGGATATGATTGCCACTTGTTTCTAAAGGAAATGGCTGTGAACGATGTTAAATTTACCGTAATAGCTCAAAATAAAGAAAAATACATATCCTTTTCCAAATTATTACGAGTTGATACGGTTCAAACTGAAACAGACGACTCAACACAAAATGTGTTCGTGAAGATTAGATTTCTCGATTCCTATCGTTTCATGGCTTCCTCCCTCGACAAGCTGTCGGATGAACTTGATGCTCATCAATGTTTGCAAGTGAAAAAATACTTTCCCGATCCTAATCACTTTCAACTTATGCGACGAAAAGGTGTTTTCCCTTATTCCTACGTTGATGATGTTGCTAAGCTTGATGAAACAACATTTCCACAGAAAGACGATTTCTTCGATAAATTGACTTCCCTCCCCGTTTCCGATGACGATTACAAAAGAGCTAAAACTGTTTGGAATACTTTTTCATGTTCAACTCTAGGAGAATACTCCGATATCTACTTGAAAACAGATGTTCTTTTGCTAGCTGATGTTTTCGAGAATTTCCGACAAATATGTCTCACCACTTACGACTTAGATCCTGCTCAGTATTACACAGCGCCAGGGCTTGCGTGGGATAGTATGTTAAAATTCACTCGCGTTAGTTTACAACTTCTGACTGATATCGATATGTTAAAATTTTTTCAAAAAGGGGTACGTGGAGGAATAAGTCAATGCGTTCAAAGAATGCACTTCGCTAACAACCCTCACATTCCCGATTACAACGCGTCCGCGCCTACCTCCTACATTATGTATTTGGATGCTACTAATTTGTATGGACATAGTATGAGTCAAGCACTTCCTATTTCCCACTTCCGTTGGCTAACCCAAGCCGAAATTGATGAATTGAATGTTCTCTCTTTACATGCTTCTTCTGAATACGGTTACGTACTTGAAGTAGATGTTGAATATCCCCAACACCTCCATGATTTACATGCTGATCTCCCCTTTTTAGTTGAAAACATTATCTCTCCTGCTAATGTGAATGGTAAAGTCAAAAAACTGATACCGAACCTTATGAATAAGACAAAATATGTTCTTCATTATCTTACGCTTCAACAAGCCCTTCATAATGGACTACGATTACTTAAAGTTCACAGAGTTATCCAGTTTAAACAGTCCCACTGGCTTAAACCTTTCATCGATTTAAATACCCGACAACGTAATTTGTCTGAAAATAAATTTGGGAAATCATCCTTCAAATTAATGAACAATAGTGTTTTCGGAAAAACAATGGAGAACGTTGATAAACGAGTTGATGTAAAATTAGTCACTCATTGGCAAAATTGTGGACGCTTTCTTGGTGCGGAAAGTTTAATAGCTAAATCTAATTAAAGATATTCACTCCCAATTTCGTAGCCATTCAGATGAATAAATTATGTATTATTTACGATAAACCTCTCTACGTTGGTTTGACTATCTTAGATTTATCAAAAGTTGTTATGTACGACTTCTACTACACCTTTCTTAAACGAAAATATCAACACAACATTTCCTTGATGTACATGGA